CCGGTACACGTTTCCGTGACGTATACTGCTCGACATACTAAATCGCGCTGTGTGTAAACACGCTTCGAACTGGTCGATTATTTCTTCGGAGGGTGATAATCGAATGTATGCGGTGCTTAGGATCAATTTCGTCATCGTACAGTGATAGTGGAGTCCACAGCTGTACTCGTTGAAAACAGAACGATGTTCGCAATTACTTTGGTCAGGATTATTAACTACGACAACATAATGAGAATGAGAAATGGTGCGCGATACCCCCATCTGTGTTCTCAGTTTAGCGTTGGCGATTTATGGCTGCAACATGGACGTGCGTACGTTAAGCGGGAAAGTGCAGAGTCATGTCCCCTCACTTCCGGGTATAAAGAGAAGATGCGAGAAAGCAGATCAGCTCTTGTAAGCTTCATTACTTGGCCGTGGCTCAGGAAAGCAAGTTGAAGTCACCGCTTCACTAGAAATAAACCGTACATCGTTTGTGTCTGTGAGCTTCTAGTTTTTATTTTTGTTTGTGACAGGCGCCCAAAGGCAACTGCGTGGGCTGAAGTTTACTGCTGCCTCCGCTAATTAAGGGCATCGACACTGTGTGTGGGTCCCGGGAGGGGGGTGGATGTTTCAGTGGTGATTTATGCGTTTTGTTTTCATTCTGTTTGCTCCAGGGAGAGCAAAGGTGGGGCAGGCGAAAATTAGGGGGCGCCCCGCAGCCTACACCCTTGCATTCCACCCACCTACTAACTTGGGTCCTTGCGTATAAGCCTATTATGCGGACGCGCTGAGGACCTTAAAGTGAAACTGTCGCTTTCCGGAAGTCTTCGGCACCAGCTACCAGCGATACCAGCTGGCAGGGGAAAAACCCGCGTACGCAGTTGAGCTTGGGCAACGTCCGTCGCGGGAGGTCCACACGAACCGCAGCGAGATGATACAGCCGTCTTCTCTACCGACTTTTTTTTCTTTAATTCCACGTGCACCTAGTCATCGCTTGGCGCCGATGCAACAAAACCCGATACACCTCCGCGCATCCGCCAACACTTTGCACCAGCTCGAACAACAACAGCCCGGCGACCGAGTTTGGGACGTGGGCCGCGGGGGTATCCTGCGACGGCGCCTAACAAGAAACGTTGCAAGTCAAGTAAAACGAAAGCTCAAACGAACGAGAAAAGAATTCAAAACGAGAGAGAGAGAGAGAGAGAGCTGTTCTCACACGCAGTGCAAGTACAAGCTGTTCCTACACACGGACAGACCTCTGCAGAAGGGCCGGGAGACAACAAAGGAATGCCTCACCGCGGTGGGTCACGAGCAGTTGTTCCTATTGCTTTCTTTATATATTTTTTTTGTTATAGGCAAAAGCGGGTCAAGCAGCAGGTGCGCAAGAGTGCACGAACGAGGCGTTTGTTGTCTCTCCGACTATCATCATACGGGTGGGAAGAAAAAAAAAATGTAATTGCGACTTCCAGAAGGGAACCTCACTGCTGGTGGCCAAGCGGCCCCCTTTGTGGGACGAGCGGAGTACAGCGATGTCGCGGTATGCTCCGCTAAGCTGGGCAAGCGCTAGGCGCGTGTTGGAGCCACGAATTTATAGCAATGCACCACGACACAGAGAAAAACTGCCACAACTGCATTGCTATAGAACAGTACGTGACATAGCAATGCGCATGGTTCTCTATTAGAGGGGGGGGGGGGAATTTACTATTCCTGTCTGCATGGCTGTCGGCAGGATTTTCTCTTGGGGTGGGCATACCAGTGTTGCATCGCGGCTGGGCGAGGGAAGAGCGCAGGTGAAGCTTGGGTGAGGGCGGCGAGGATTGAGAGGGGCAAGTACTCCTTTCGCACCCCCCCCTGCCGACGCCCATGTCTGCCTCTATTGGTCGAGTCTATAAAGAACTAGAATCTATTCTATAATGAACTAGACTATATTCTTGTTCAAGATCTTCGCAATCGCTGCAAAATGGAAATGAAGCAATGATGCGCCGCTCACAATAGTCCCTATGCTTTCCGGAAGTGAAGATGCCCATTTCTTGCTTTGCAACACCTGCCCGGTCCTCTACCACCAGTATAATCCGAAACCAGCCTGTTCATAACCCTGAACTAAACAAAATGACGAGACAGCTCCAAGTGAGCATTTGCGCACGAGGCGGCCTGCAAAAATGCTTCCACACGGGCTAGGTATAGTATATACTGAAGTGTAAAGATGCGCAGCATGATCAACTGGGAGCGCACAAGAACACATAATGGAAGACGCAAAGTCCTTGTCCGTTTTGTGCTCTTGCGCCATTCGTCTCTGTTCATTTACGTGGCACATCGTTGCCTTTCAGAGCCAGACTTGATGCCCCACTTTGTTTGATTAGAAAGTGTTGCCCCCCCCCCCCCCCCCGTCTTGTGCACACGTCCATATGGTACATGTACAGTAGACACAAGAACTATAGAATGTTCTGCCTGTGACAGGGTACAGAAACAGCTACGGAAAATCCCTCGTGACAGTAGAGAAAACACTCACTGGGCTGTGACATGGGAGCACAAAGTGTGACGTCACAACTTCGGCAGTGCACTTAAGGGGGGCTGGGGTCACGCCTATTTGGAAAAGTCCAAGAGAGAATTAATTATGGCCGTGTCCAGGGAGACGTCTTGTGAAAAGGTCAGTATACATTATGCGGAACACTGGCAGGCACCAACACATTGCCATATGTCATTGATAGAACAGTGTACCAGCTTATGTTTCAGTTATTTTTGTCTCGTGATGTGAATTTCAGTCATTTACCAGTATGTCGTAGTAGACAGGCGACGAGAACGTTTGATGAGTGAGTGTTGCAAGGTATACAATATAAGAAGGATTAATATGCACCTTTTGAGGAGTATTTTCTGTCCTTGACGAAAAATTGTCGCCCGAGTTACTTGCACTTAATTTCTTTCTTGGAAGCACGACGCTAATTTGCAACTTTTTATTAGAAATTGCTACGTCATGCTGACAGCTCGCATGCAAGGTATAGATTTTGATTATTGACGTGGGAGAAAAACACGCTTCTAAAAGATGCAACTGTCTTTAGATTGCAGGGATCTGACACGCATAGGAATTCACAAACACCAGCGCAATTCGCACGAATGCAAACTGCGTACATATACGAACGTGTCGAGCGAATGGAGCAAACTCTGTCGAACGAACATGAAACTCGGTGCATTAGCAATCCGTGTGAATTGGTGGATTATTTCACCTTAACTGGTGATACGTTTACATTCAATGCGATCCATAGAGCTTTCATATTATTATACGAAACTCCATGTTGCGATCACTCTGGAAGGGCACCACAACAGTCACGCAGCTGGGCTGAGCCACTCTATTTTTCAAAGCTCAAATCGTCGAGTGCGATCATGAGAGCTTTGCGATCGCCAGCCTGTCTCATGAGCTGGAGGCACGGCACTAGGGAGGACCAAGGGCACAGCACTGATTTCGAAGGTCATCATATTTAAGCTATTTTTATAAGTAATATTCTTGAAACTCCGCATGCCCATTCAACTCTTTTACAGTACAATGAAGTACTTGTCTCTTGTCATTATACAAGTATACACCACCAGAGTGCTAGTCAGTCACAGAAGTTGACATGGTTGAACTTTAGGTCACTGTCACCACCGAATTTCACGATGGCAAAATAGAGCACAATACTGTTTACGGGAGCTGCAATGCAATGCAATGACTGAGCCAGATTGGAAATCGTTGGCAGTACAAGATTCACGGTTGTTTGGCTAGTGTGTAACCGGCAGCCGTTAAGTAACAACACGAAGTTTAGCAAAAGTTCAACAGCCCCATTCTTCAGCCTTTTGCATTGACCAATTAAAATCAGCTCACAAGGTTCACAAGGAGCCATTCTTTTATCAAAAGCAAAAGCCGAAAACAAACAATGCCACAAGTACATGCGAAGTTGCAAGTACAAAAACTAGGCAAATTCATGTACAGTGATGGAAGTGACCTTTTTATTTTTTAGAGCGTACTTTAAAGCAGCAAAAGTACTGCTTTGGAGCAGCCATAAGTGTTTTTGGAGCAGAAAAAATGCTAGTTTGTAGAAGCTATCGGTGTTTTTTCGAGGCAGATATTAAGTTTGCCATACATTAATTGGAGTTCACAGCATTGTCAAAGACACACATAAATAATATTTATTATGAAATAACAGACAACAATCAATATGAAAATTTCATGAACCAAACAATGGCCCATTGACAAAAATATGCTGTGAAATGGAATATAATGTCAAAAACTTATATTTGAGGCAGAAATCAAATCAAACCACAAAAGCTCGAGTGCTGCATTTTAGAAGTAACCATTGTTCCATACAACTTGCCAAATAAGTTTATCTAGCGCATGGTGGCGTCTGCGGTATTCCAAGGGTTTCTCGCCGACTTCCTCTGAAATACCACAATCAGTCTCTGTACTGATCCCCGTCATTTTTTTTTTTCTGGGAGATATAAACATATCACCACCACCAGTTGATAATCAGTACAATATAAAAGCAATCCAACTCCTCACATTTCACCGCAGTAGCCTGTATATCTAGCAGAGAAAAAAAACAGCCAAATGAGCTATACGCTTGATATGCTAGTTGTTCTTGCATAAATGAGATCACAGTTAATGCAGCAAGCTAGTAGTTCACGGGGATGGCAGTACTACAGAGATTTTTCTTTTGGTTTCTTTGAGACTTATAAAACAGCAAAATTTCGTCCTTCTTATTCTCTTGGTGTCATTTCGGAGCAGGTTTAGAGGAATTATGAAAAAAAATTGCCATTTGGAGCAAAATTTCTTTGGAGCAGTTTGGAGCAATTGAAGCAGCACTTCCATCACTGCATGTAGTCCCCCCGATTCCAATGGTGGCTGAATGATTGCAGTGCTACAGTTGCCACTAGTAATTACTATAAGAAACTGTAAGACTACCTTTTTATATGCCTTATTTCTCTGCACAATTTATTACCTCCAACATCGCTCTTACATTCTTATAAAATATAAACCAACACAGTAGACTTCGTCAATTTTTAAAAAGAAAAAAAATTTATTTGGAGACTTTGTACAAGACCTTTGAAAAGGAAAAATTCATAATAATGGTTTCCTAAGTGCACATTTCATTTTCATGTATAGCTCCATACACCCAGACACCCCCCCCCCCCCCATCTCCGGAAGAAAAAAAAATAGCAAAAAAAAAACAAAACAACAAAACCAAACTGCGCACATGCACACACATTGTAATCCAGAGAAGAGTCGGGTGTTCGTCGTCATTCGTGTCTCGTCACAGCAACAAACACGCATGGATGCGTGCCCGCGATTGCTGAATGCCGTGGAACGTTTGAAGACAGGAAAGAAAAAAGAAATAGTAAGCACGAGCAGGAAGGGGGGGATGTCTGAGGAAGGAGAGTTGCATGCGAGGCGTGGCATCACCACTGTGATCCATTAAAGCGGCGGGGGTGCAGCGTGGGCTGGGGGTAGTCACGGCGGCAATCATTAAGTCACATTTTGAATCACTAATGCCACGATCGTCATCACCCGTCATTTGAGAAAGTGACGCGAAAAGGAGGAAGCAATTATTTACAAGGCCACGACGGTATTCACAGTTTCGCCGTAACACCGGAAATTCGGGGCAAACGATAAAGGTCAAAAACAGTAGGCATGAGAGAGCAAGCAGCAATTCATTAAGCTAGAAAAAAAAAAGAAGACCAGGAGACAAAATTCTGGAAAGACTGCGAGCTCAAAACGTAGACACACCGATGACGACGACGGCCCTTCCCGAAAAACTCTTGCACCAGTTTCACGCTCAGCGCCCCCGTTCTAGAAGAGCAATGGATGATGAAAAAACGTGGCGGAAGAAACACAATCATGGCCCCATGGACAGCACCGCTTGTGGGTGCCATGTTTTTGGGCCACATCGACGACAGTGTCCTTTTCCTGCAGTTCTCCTTGCCTTGTGTACTTAGTTCCTCTCAATCTTGCCATTTTAAAGAAAACAAAAACAAAAAACACTTCCACGGAAGCATTGTCGCCGTCAGCCATTGCCACCTTTTCTCTTGCTATGCCTCAGACGTCCATTGCGTATTGCCTTGTCCATTCTCTCGCTGAAACAACAACAAAAAATATATGAGAACCAGCTGTCAGAGTTTGAGTGAATGTGGTGAAAAGTTTGTTGTCACAACGATCATTAGAGGGAACGCTGGCACTTCAAAAAATAGGCCGTTAGACAAGTTGATAATTTAAGTCAGAAAAATGCAGTGCGAAAGAATATAAAACAAGACACACAAGGAGATGGGACGAGCGTGTAAGGCACTAACAGCATTGCACAATTGCACAGGCACTTTTGATCATAATCAGAACTGATCCAGATTGGGCTGTCCAGTTTTGGATATACCAGTGTCAGGAGCTGTTGCACGGACACTTTTAATCGCAATCAGCCCTGACTAGGTTAAGACAGCTGTTATCTGCAGAGATATGTGACGATTTGACTGATGTCTGCATCAAACTTGATCCGGATGAGTTCTGGCACTATAGCAGTGGCCTTCATCAATCACACTCAAAAAATATGATCCCGATTATACGAGATTGCTCTGCCAAGCAAGCAAGAGAATGATGTTCACGGGACTTGTGCAATCTATGAATGTGTGACTTCGGACATCCTCCTCAACAATTGTTACACTACATTATTGTAAATTTCCAGGCACTCAGCTTTTTAAACAGAGTAAGGCTCTGTTTGTGAAGGCAGAGTCGTACTCTGCATGCTTATGTGGCAGATGGAAATTGGCACGCTTATAGCAAACATTCTACCTGAAATGTCTCATAGGCCAAACATTGATGACACTGAGGCCAATCTGAATAATGTCCATCCTTCTTAAGCTTTAACTGTCATACCAAAGCTTTAATGCCTTTTGCTAGTGAAGGCACTGCTCAAGTTTCCACGAACAAATAGCACAGAAATACCCCGATATGACTGTTACAATAAGTGCATTGTACAACACAAACTTTCCGAATTGAAACGATTTGATGAAAGGGGCAAACAAATAGTATGCGACCAAGTTGGTGACCTCGCCAACTAGGGAGTTCTACAAAAACATGTATCACCTATAAATGTGTTGTACTTGCTCAATTTATTCATTTTACATGAAGGAAGACAGCGCTACAGAGGAATACCGTGTGTACAGGTGTGCACAAAGACACCAAACACACCTGCTGCTCTTCACGAGTTTCTAGCAGTAGAGTGCTCCATTATAATTTGCGACTCCAGCTCACTCAGGGAAAAAAAAAAAGGCAGATCTAACATACAGTGGGAATCGATGATATGCGAAGCACGAATAAGGAAGGCTATGTCACTTTAAAATCAGCACGTTACGAGGCAGAGGTAAATTATGCCGTATATGACTTCCATGTCATGATTATCATGTTTGGACATTTAATCTACCTTCGTCATCTAATCATGTGAGCTGATGATGATGTTTGATGTTTTGTGGCGCAAGGGCCATTTCACGGCCAAAGAGCGCCAGTTCATCTTACTAAAAATATGGACAATGATTGCGATAAGCGGCTGTATAAGGGCCATAAAATTCCTCGCGGTAAGGCGGGTAAGAACATACAAGTAATAAAATCATGACCATGCCGTGAAAGGTGTGAATAGGTGACAAAAGTTGGTGATAATAAAAGACGATGGTGGATATGTATAGCATTAGCACGAGTGCCTCACTCGTTCACACCCTTGCGTCCAAGGGCCGTGAGGCAAGTGCTTTCTTGTGTAGCCACCGCAGCAAAAACCTCTCTGGAGAGGTCGTGCTACGGAATGCCCGGGTATATGATATGAAAACTATGAATTTCCTTTAAAAACGCTAACAATGATTTATCACTAAAAAGCGGTTCCCTACCGACGAACATTTCAGGGTGTAAAGGTATATGTTGTCGGTAGGGTAATGGAACATGTCGTTTTCTTAGAGTTTCTAAGTGTTTGCACTGGATTAACATGTGAAGGACTGTTAATGCTTCACCACATCTGTCACACAATGGTGGATCGTCACCAGGCAAAAGGTAAGTGTGTGTCCTGTATGTGTGTCCTATCCTGAGCCTCGTTAGTATTACCTCTGTATGACGCGATTTCGATACGGGCAGCCAATGACCAAGGTGTGGCTTAATAATGTGTAGTTTGTTTTGTGTGTGTGTATCCCACTTGCTCTGCCAGTATACCCTGAGGTTTTGTTTGAGAGACAGCTTAAGATCAAGGGCCGGGATTGATATGGGTGTAGGGGCAGTGCTTTTGTGGACGGATGCAGCGAGCTGATCCGCCCTCACGTTGCCTTGAATCTCACGGTGCCCTGGCACCCAGCACACTACAACATGTTGTTTGAGTGTGTAGAGTGTGCACAAAATGGAGTAAAGTGAGACAAGGACTGGGTTTTTGTGTTTTTTTTAAGAGAGTGCAGAGCTGTTACCACACTGAGGGAGTCTGTATAAATTACTGCTTTTTGTATTTGTAATTGTTTGATGTGTTTAGCCGCCACAAGTATCGCATAAGCTTCCGCTGTGAAGATACTTGTGCCTGGATGTAGAGGGCCAGCATCCGAAAAGGATGGGCCGACAGCAGCATAGGACACAGAGGAGTTAGACTTGGAGGCATCTGTAAAGAACTCAGGACGTGTGTATTTGTGTTGAAGTTCCAGGAAGTATGTTCGGATCTGGGCAATAGGCGCATGTTTTGTAACTTCTAGAAAAGACACATCGCAGTCTATAGTCTGCCATTGCCAAGGTGGCGGGTATGCTACAGGAGCCATTAAACTGTGTTCAAGTGAGACTCCAGTTTCCTCAGCTAGACTCTTCAGGCGAACTGAGAAGGGCTGCCTCATCGAAGGCCTGTTTTGAAACAGAATTGAGCTTGACAAATCATTAACAGTAGAGTATGAGGGGTGCTTCTTGTCTGCTTTCACGTTAAAGAAATACTTTCACCTTAAAGAAATAAACAAAGGACATGTAAGTTCTCTGCAGATGAAGCGACCACTCATTTGACTCAACATAAAGGCTTTCTACGGGGCTGGTGCGAAAAGCACCCGTAAAAAGGCGGATGCCCAAATGGTGCACGGGGTCCAGCATCTTCAAAGCACTTTGAGTCGCAGACTGATAAACAACGGCCCCATAATCTAAGTGGGTGCAAATGAGGCTTCTATATAGGTTCATGAGACATTGCCTGTCACAACCCCACGTAGTACGTGACAACACTTTTAAAACATTCATGGCTTTTAAACATTTTGTTTTTAGATACTTGATCTGCGGTACGAAGGTCGACTTCTTGTACAAGATTAATCCTAAGAATTTATGCTCCGTATTAACAGACAGACGTTGACCGTTCAGTTCAATGTCGGGTTCTGAGTGCATGCCTCTCTTTCGGGAGAACAAGACACACGTGCTTTTTTGTGGGTTCAGTCCGAATCCGTTTTCCTCTGCCCATTTGGAGACCTTGTTTAAACCTAACTGAGCCTGCCGCTCACACATTGCCAGATTGCAAGATCTAAAGCCAAGCTGGACGTCATCGACATATGTACAATAAAACATATTGCGAGGAATGGACAAGCGCAAGGAATTCATTTTGATGAGAAAAAGTGTGCAGCTAAGTACACCACCTTGTGGCACGCCTGTTTCCTGGACAAATAATTGGGATAGAACCGTGCCCACTCGGACACGGAATGTCCGGTTTGACAGGTAATTTTCGATTATGTGAAACATTCTTCCCCGCACGCCAAGGTGGGACAGGTCTCTTAGAATTCCAAAACGCCATGTTGTATCATAAGCTTTTTCGATATCGAGGAATACAGAGAGAAAATATTGTTTATGGACGAAGGCGTCCCTGATCTGTGCCTCAATACGAACAAGGTGGTCTGTGGTGGATCTACTTTCTCGAAACCCGCACTGAAATGGGTCGTGCAAATTGTTTGTTTCAAGGATTTGTACAAGTCGGCAGTTTATCATTTTTTCGAAGACTTTGCACAAGCAGCTTGTAAGTGCAATAGGCCTATAACTCGAAGGTAAAGAAGGGTCCTTGCCCTCTTTCGAAATGGGAATAATAATAGCCTCTTTCCAGGAGGTAGAGATAGTGCCAGAAAACCAGATAGCATTGTACAAACAAAGTAAGGTTTTTCGTGTTTTGATTGGTAGGTTTTTTAACATTTCATTCACCACACGGTCAGAACCTGTGGCAGAAGTACTGCAGGAGTTTAGAGACGTTCGCAGCTCAGCTAAACTGAAAGCTTGGTTATATGCCTTGTATCTAGTGCATTTGTGTTCGAGTTTCTGCTTTTCTATTCTTGTTCTGTATTTTTGGAAAGTGTCAGTATAGTGGGATGAGCTGGACACCTGTTCGAAGTGTGCATCGAGGAAGTTTGCCTTATCTTCCAAGGTATCACACTGATTGTTTACGAGTGGAAGTGTGTGTACTTGTTTTCCTGCTATCTTACCGACCATGTTCCAGACTTTAGCCTCCTGTGTGTATGAATTGATCCCTGACAAAAACTTCTGCCAGCTTTCTCTTCTGGCCTGCCGACGCGTTCTCCTGCCTTGAGACTTTATTTTCTTGAAGGTGTCAAGATTTTCGGCTGTCGGTGAGTTCCGAAGCAGTCTCCAAGCTCTGTTTTGCTGTTTGCGCGCGTTTCGGCATTCAGAGTTCCACCATGGCACACGTCGTTTTCCAGGGTGTCCATTTGTTTGTGGGATGCATTGTGTTGCAGCATCAATCAAAAATGCTGTGAAGTAGTTGACAGCAACATCAATGTTCAAAGTACATATGTCATTCCAACCTAGACGAGCGATGGTATAAAACTGTTCCCTGTCGGCTCTATTTATGAGCCACTTGAGAACACGTGGTGGGCACTCAGTTACTGTAGTTGTGCTCAAAACTACGGGGAAGTGGTCACTTCCGTACAGATTACTGACGACTTTCCACTGGAATAGAGGCACAAGAGATGGAAATACTATGCCTAGGTCTATGGAGGAGTAGGTGTTATTCGTGAGATTATAATAGGTTGGTTCTTTTTGATTTAGGAGACACGCGCTCGACGAGAGGAGGAACTGTTCGATCAGTCGACCTCGCGCCTCA